CGATGTCACAATTCGTTTAGTCGTTAATACGAATATAATACAGGTAAATATCGCTGTTTTCGTATGCCGAAGCCATTAAAGAATTAAAGTTGCCTAATTTTTACAAAGATGGAGGCTCATAACTCCTCAATAGGCAGTGAGCAAAATAATTTGCAAAAGCATTTATCGTCACATGCTGTTATTTATAAACATCTTAGTTTTTCGCGCGGATCGAGCTGTTTGTGGCTCATCTTCGACTGCTTTATATTATTCCTTCGGATATGTTTTAGTGTTAACTGTGAGTCAATTCGTTTACAGCCTTTGCTCGGTTGATATCATCATACCGGATAACCCAGTTATCGGATTGTGCTAGATCTTGTGAAACAGAAAAAAAATCCCATAGCAATTTCAGCTTTTGCTTTTAATACAAATCTGTTTGAAACAATGCGGTCTTGCTCTGGATTTTGAGCTGATAACTGTGTGCGTGTACCATCGTTGGGAGTTATCCATGAAGAGGCCATAATGAACATTTTAGGCGCCTTTCAGTACTTCCCCGAATTTGAAAGTCCAGTCGGTTTTAATTGCCCGAACTGAATCCCCAAACGCGAGGAAGTCAGCGAACCATATTCTGTCTAGATAAAGTCAAATTATGCATGGATTTATCAGCTTTAACTTCACTCAGTAAACAAGCCACCACTTTTTTAAAGCGTTACAGTTCAGTCGCACAATCAACCTGTTGTGTGAAAATTAACTTCAGTACTATAAATCTGTGAGGCTGTCGTCAGTTAAGATAGTTTTGCGAACGGCTTGTAAAAGTCAGGGCTATAAAAACGTGCTTTCATTTACCCATTCTCATTATCAAAAATACTTCAGTGATCTGGATGCGATGAAGAAAATTTGCAGCTCAGGTATTTGATGGCGTAACATCATAACACTAGCAATTAGTTCCAGAATCGCCTGCTGGTGAATTAACGTGCAGATACTGCATATGCATATATGTTTGAAAGCTAGGTGCATGCCGGTTCTAGATTTACTCTACTTCTCAGTTTTCTCTGTACCTACCGGGATTTTTCGATAAGGCACTTTATAATCCTAACCTGCATGTGGTGAATTCTTTATGCGTGCCGGTGAGGCGAAACGTGCCCACGTCAAATTCATAACTCAAGATTTATAGATAAACTGAGATAGAGGAATTGCGGAAGTGTTACTAGAACATTGTCTTCATTTCTCACCTTTCCGATATTCAGTGTACAGTTCGCATACTTAGTATGGATCAAATGATTTTCGCTAAGAAATCTGTTGACCATTTCAAAACTCGACACAGATTAGTGTCAACTGTATACAATGCATTGTAAATACCAAAAATGTGTATCTGTGGAACTTCTGGGACTTCAGATCCAGGACTTTAGTACTTAGCATGTGATTTACTGTATATTTCACTGACGTCATACGTCTTTTTAACATCACTCATTTCGCACCACCAGTTATCTACTTCCAAGGTAAACTTCATAAAACTTCACGTTGAAATCAACTAGTGTGTGATAGTTTCATGCATATTATTTTTACTTAATCAGTCGATTCTTGATTTGTACGATGGTGAGGCAATCCTTTCAAACACATATTATGTTGATATTTTACCTCTCCGGATTATTAAAAGTTGTTGGAGTCACAGCTGAAGAATGCTCAATGCCCACGCAGGTGGTCCGGGATTCGATCGTCGGCTAGCAATGTATTTCATAAGCCAAGATGTGTGAAATTTGGCGTTTGGACATTTGCATAGTTATCGTCTTTCCCGTCAAAGTGGCATATTATTCACATGAATGTGGTATTTACGTGAATAAATCGTTATTATTGAAAAGGTCTCTACGTATTCATTTGATGTTCACTAATATTGACAATCATATTGGGGGCCACAGTGGAAACTCTTTAGGTACGAAAGGGGCCTGAACTCCGTCGCTAAAGGAACCAGAGTACAACACAAATACATTTACCAGATATAAAAATATTCCATACCCCTATATGGGTGACATGACATTACCTCTCTAGGCCAGTAATAAAACTGGTAGAGAGGGAAGGTCGAAAGTGAGATTTGCGACCCCACCTCGTAAAAATAAACACCACTGCTACCAAAACTTCAGGCCTCTAGCTTGAGGCCATATAATTTACCGGGAAGGTAAAGGAATAAAAGAATCGCCACCGAATCAAAATCCAGTCACGATGTCACCTCCCAAAGAGTATACTTGGTTCCAAAACGACCGTATCTAACGTCAATAAATAGATGTAGGAGAAAGTTTTCTGTTAAACCTCCTTGACATGAATTTCATTATCACTAATTTCTACCATCTATATTCTGAGCGAAATTTCGAAAACATTAGAGGTACAAAACTTAGGGCAGGCTGTAACGATGGGAAAAATACGCAATTTTTCACAAGCAAATCCGTGTATGAGACGCTTTGCACTAATAAGCTCCATATAATAAAATTAGCCTACCATGTCCTGCTGAGAGGCAGCTCTCCTCACAGTCGTTTGACCTATCTTTACCATTAATTTTCCTTCTAGTCTCATGGACAATTTATTTATTTTTATTTATTTTTGATTACAGCTTGATTCCACACCGTATTTTTGGTACAAAAGTGGAATTTTCCGCGTGGATATCGGTAGCCCAAAATTCGAGGGCCGACCATAGATATCAGGTGTGCGTCATTTTTCTTAGTTTTATCTCACCATATTCACCATAAAGTGAAAATATTTAATACCCCGTATTATTTCAACAGCTTGTACGGAACATCCTTATGGACTGTAAGGCTAAGAACGTTTTAATCAGTCAGCATACTATTGGGAAGTCTGTCATGAAAACTAGTGGCAGGTGAACATATTCTATGACGTATGTTTGAGATAGGCTGTCAATGTAGTTGAAGATTGAACGATCAATTCATGGTTGTTTGCTCAAAACCAACTTCCCCAATTTTCGCGGAGGCATCCATACGACAGTTATCGTCTCATCGGTCGCTGTTCAGAAAGAAGTCAGCAGAAAAGCGTCAGAAGTAATATTGTGATTTATTATTGTACTATTTGTTTACAGACCTTAGTGATAACAATTTTTATATGTTGGTGTTACAATAAAGAATTCTCGAGTGGCCAATCGGTGTTTTGGTTTTTTTCGTCCGTTATAACTAAGCGCTTCTGAGAATCTTCGAGGAACAGCGTGATTCCCAGCGTGGCAAAGCTGGGCATTAACGGTTTACGAGACGTGACTGACATAGGCACTACTACTGTAGTTTCAGTAGAAATCTGGAAGCATTGCAAAAAGATGGGGAGTGACGAATAGTTATCATTGGACTCCCCAGTTTGTCAGAACTCCAAAACATAATGACATAACCGTCATTTACGTGCATTGCATTACTTTCCTTCTGGACATACCTATTGACTAAATTCTGGTCTCTGTTAAGTTACTGAATACTTGTTTCACGTATGCCTCCCTAGCTGGGTAACCCGAAACTAAAACCGTACAGGTCGCGAACCATCACAGGATGATTTATCAGCATCATTTGCTTCTCTCATCTTTTCTAAGAGAAATTCGAGAATGCAGTTAGTGGACACTAGAGATAGGGAAATCTAATCAGGCTTTTACGCCCGAAGAATGGGTAAGTTTTTCTACGTTTTGGTAGAGAGATAGCTGGACTGCACACCGGAGATAGTGACCATGCAGCATATTTCGCTGCTAAACCAGATGAATGTCTGTGTGGCAGTTTCTGAAACCAGAGAGATCAATAAATCCATAGTAACTCTCTGGCGTCTCAATACACTCCATCCAGATTGCATATATCCGTGGTTCTTTGCAGTTGTGGCAATAACATGAAACTGCTCCTCCTGAATTTTCACTCAAGACGGAACTGACAATCACCATCCCATCAACACCATACCCACCATTTCATGAGACGGAATAAAACACAAAGCGCGAAACCGTTCATTTTTAACGACCAACAGTCCTTAATTGACTGCTTTATATCATTCGCCATTCAGATATTGTTAACTACATTTCCGAACGAGTAGATAACAGGCAAACATTGATCGAAATATAACATGATGTAAGAAATGCTTCTGACAAACTATTACATTCTTAACTCTTCAGTCCAATCAACCACATAGAAGGCATCTTGCAACGATATGTCCCGGATTCCTAGGGTAAAAACGACCGGCCAAAACTGACTGGCCATTGTTTAATTCTGAGCAGACACCTGTGGTTCCATCTACCCCACCATATTTCTCCGCAATTGCAGGCTGGAAACAGGATGACCTTTAGAAGCAGAGCAGTATTATACGACACAATCTGGCAGGAATTGCATAACTGAAGTCGCAACAACATCCCAAACGTGCCATCTAATGGTTTTGTACATGCAAGTGTGTGAATATACACTAAAACTGATCTCTTTTGACCCATGATTACTGCAGGCTAATAATTTTGGAGAATTATCTACCATAGGTGACTTACGCATATTGAAAGTGTCGAAAGATATACCAAAAATATTATCCATGGCTTCATGGATTTATCATATGATGAATAACTTAACGGACTGGTTCCATTCTGTGTGGTACACACCTTGCAAGGCAATACACTTTAACTGATATCTTACTGTAATGATAGAATAAACAGTACCTGAACTTCCATTTACCGTCTGAATAGGGAAAGAGAAAGCACGAATACCTACCAAGCAAGGGATCACACATTCCAGGCAATCTACCACCAATTTGTGCGTCGGTGGCACAGTGGTTAGGACTCTCGCCGACCATGCACATGGTCCGGGGTTCGAGCCCACGCCGGCGAACACCTGATATCTAGGGTCGGCCTGCAAAATTTGGCTACCGATATCCATGCTGAAAATTCCATACTTGTACCAAAAATACAGTGTGGAATCAAGCTGTAAATCAAAAATAAAAAAATAAAAAATAAAATAATCTTAAAATTAAGTGATCATTGAACTAATGTGTGCTTATTTTGAAACCTGTACATACCTCCAGGTACACGTATGTGAAAGAGGCTACAGTCAGTTTCTAGGTCATGATGGGTTCCTGCGTCGGCTGGATATATGTTTTCTTGAATTCGTTTTCTATTGAATTTTAAAGGTTTTTTTGGATGTTTTCCTCATTTTGCAGTGTGTTGGTCAGTTCTTGTCACTGGATGCTACTATTAAGCTTATTTTTAGCCTGGAGTACCCAGTTATTATGTTGGTAGTCAAGGTTTATGGTAAACCTGCAATCATTGAGCCAATTACCGTATACTAAGCGAATATAGTAACATTATTTAATGAGTAATTTCCCTAAATGTTTTGCCATTGTTTGACAGTGAAATTGTGCACTGGTTTTTCAGCATAAGTGGCAGTAAATTGGACCTACTGGGTTCGCTTATCAACGTTGTTACAGCCCTCGCAGGACATATAAAGCATGGACCAGCGTTACTCCAAAGCGGAAAGTTTTGATTTAGCACGCAGCTGCCTTTTTAACCACGACCTGTATCATTTCAGAACAAAGTGGGTAAATAAGATCTTCAGTTACCATAAAAAGGCATTATCAAGGAATAGGTTAGAATAAGTTTAGAATTGTTGTAAGCTTGGTGGTGCTGCGGTCTAAGTGATAAATCGTATTAATCACCGTTATTCAGGATATGCTATGAACCAGAAACGCTCCACTGAAAAACGTAGTAAATAAGACAGATCGGTGTAATTTATAACTGACTCAAAATCGCTCTCTTCACGAAACAATCAACCAAAATATGCTTGAACTGTCGCTCTCAACCATTTGAAGGGAAATTTACTTGATTTATGCCGACCTAGTATGCACAAATCCTAAAGGTCAATGGACTGACAACTTGTAGATATCTATATGTACTAATTAAGGAAACAGTGAATGTTTAGAAATTGTAGTTGAATTATATTCGCCTCGTAAGCAAAAATGCATACATCCTATTTTGGACTTAAGAAAATGCATCGAAATTACTGTTGATTTATATTCACTTACTAGACATTTCATACATTTCAATGTACTTTAAACACCACCAATGCGTGTGACTAACACACTACACGCCATTATATTGTGATAAGGTAAGCCCTCAATTACACTGACTAAATTTCCGTGTCAAAATAAAGATTGCTGCTTTAACTTATATTTTAGACCAATATGAAGCCAGCGATCCAACAGCCAATCAAAATCTGCCTAAATCTATTTTCTATCACGAAATCTTGCGTCGCCAGTCCGTATTAGGTTTCAAGTAGTACGGTGGTATTATAATATTTTTTTTACTAAATGTCTTAAGGTTTTGTGATTTTTCATCTTTTAGATTTACTGTATTCATATGTAACGTTAGTAGCACTAATATTTAACAGTCTTGATTGTTTTCTTTAGTTCATCAATTGGAATTGGTATCATCACAAGTAAATCAAGCTGCATTAAAAATGCCAGGAAATGAGTTGTCCGAAATGTTCAACAGTATCCCACCCGTCACTCGGTACTGGTTTTCTGGCACAATATTGTTCTCTCTCCTCGGGAAACTGAATATCATTGATCCCATGCGTATGATCTTGCTATGGGATAGGATATTTTCTCATTTCGAGGTTAAAGTGAATGTTATCTAATCGCTTTATATTTAGATATGGAGACCAATTACAGCGTTGCTGTTCTACCCAGTTTCTCCTTCCACTGGATTTCACTTTTTAATCAACCTATACTTCTTGTATTCTTATTCATCTCGATTAGAAAACGGTTTGTTCTCTGTTTTTTATCACTTATTTTTTTAAGGAATGTTCCTAGGACGCACGGCGGACTACGTATTTATGTTCATGTTCACATGGCTAACACTTGTGGTATCCTTAATTAACGTTAATGTTACGCTTTTGTCTTGTTATTAACTGCCAAAATACCAGGACCAGTTTCACTTGTATTGCTATCAGTTCTTAGATCTGTAGTCAGTATTATTCAGAAATACTATATACATTTCCTATCAAATAAATCAGATTGGAAGGAAAGGTGTTGAGGCGAGGCAACATTTTAACTCACTATTAATTTCCAAGTTTAAACATCAATCAAGTTAGTTAATTCAGTCTAAAGGGGTGTCAGTTTATTTGCTACACCCGTTAAATAATGTGTTTAGATATTTTTCCTACATCTACTCAATGTGGTTATACGCCACTAACATTTGCTTACGTTAGTGTTTGTTTAGATGTGGGATACAGAGATTGTAAATAATTTCATATTCTCTAATTGTGAACGGAATTCCGATACTGCTCATACAAGGCTTTTAAATATCATGGCATAACTATTGATACACTCATTGACGTATTAATTTCAAAACTACAATAATGTTCAGAAGAATAAAGGTCTCATGCTCATAGGCAGTTGTTAATTCTAATTTAATAGAACTAGTTCCTAAATACTCAGTTGAATGACATCGTGACAAAATGTGTGAAGGTAGAAACAAACTAGAAAAAATCCCGGAGGTTAGGTCAATGAAACTTTTTAGCTAGGATAGTGGATTATTATCTGTCGTACCTAAACCATTTTATCCACCTTTTTTGCTGATTGCTTCATATGCGTACAATTTATAAATGGTTACTTTTTACACTGCAGAATTTTAGCTCAGGAAACTGCTTCGAGGTGTTAGTGGCGTGACACCACGTCAGTGGCTTACCTGTTTTTAAAATTGACAGGTCAGTCAAGCAAAAGAAAATGATTAAAAACGTCGTTCTTACTGCTCTAATTTAAAAAGTACAACTCTGTGGTTGGAATTTTGTGTAAGCTGTTAAAAATTATTCTTGGTAGAACTCCTTGACTCATTGACACAGATTGTGAGCTTTTTGGCTGCATTTTACGTAAGTTAAACATCGGTAATTTAATTAATTTTAAGAATATTTTTCATTTTATTATTCGATTTACAGAATTTAGGCAAAAGTGTCAATAACCTTTGCTTACGTAGTGTTAATCGTATTACCTCTAGCTACAATCTCGATTTGTTTCTTTGATGCTTACTAACTTTATTAAAACATTCTTCTTCGTTCTCTCACACTCTGTATATCTCGACCTTTTGTTACCGCTTACGCCAGTAAATATGCTAGCATCTACTTTTTCTAACACCTTCAAACACTGTTCAATTTTGGCTTTGCTACCGACATGCCATTATGTTGTTGTCAAAACGAACTAAGATTACCCTTAATCTATGTAGGATTTTATTTGTTGTTATCGTACTAACTGGATGCAATCATGTAGTAAAATGCTGAGAACTCCATTCTGTATCAGAAGTACTGTTTTGGAATATAGCAGATTATTATTATTAAAATGAATCACTGCATAACGGACATACATTACATTTTTCTGTCAAGCCACAACCCTACCCTTACGACTTCAGTGACTCAGGGATTGACTTGCTACCGGGGAATAATCTCGTTGACTTGGAATATGCAGACGATATAGTCCTTCTAGGCGAAGACGCTGACGAAATGCAGAGTCTTCTAAACACCTTGAGCCGCAATCTACGAATGTTTGGCATGCGATTCGCTCCCGCCAAATGCAAGATGATGTTACAGGACTGGACTACATCGACGCCTAGTTTAAAAATAGGAAGTGAAGTGGTAGAGCACGTTGACCGCTTCACTTATCTGGGAAGTACCATCAGCCCCAACGGGCTGATCTCTGACGAAATCTCAGCACGAATACAAGGGGCTCGTTTCGCATTTGTTAGTTTACGCCGACTCTAGCGTAGACGAGATGTTCGACTATCGACCAAAGGGCGGGTGTACTGCTCATCAGTCCGCTCCGTCCTCCTGTATGGTTGTGAGACCTGGCCACTGAGAGTGGAAGACATGAAGAGACTAGCTGTCTTTGATCATAGGTGCCTGCGCTCTATTTCCCGTGTAAAGTGGCATAATAAGGTGAGCAACATGGAGGTTAGGCGTAGAGTTCTAGGTAAACAGGGGAAATCAATCGACGAAGTCGTGAAGCTACAAAGACTGAGATGGTTAGGACATGTGTTACGTATGCCAAGCCATCGCCTCCCTCGACGAGCTATGTTAGCGGATATAGGGTCAGGCTGGAAAAAAGCTAGCGGCGGTCAAACAAAAACTTGGCATCAGTCAATGAAATCCACAACAGTTGGTCTAAGCCACGTAGAAAGGTGTAGACTTCCAGGCTGGGGTCCTCGGGACGGTAAAAATCTATGGTTGGAAACAATTGGTGACATGGCTCAAAACCGTTCTCAGTGGCGCAGATGCATCCACTCCCTGTGACTTATGATCTTCAATGAAACTGTTTTGTATTTCTTTATTACTCCTTTGTCTCACACCTCTGCTCACTGTTTCTATTATGCTTTTCTTGTACTTTCTTCTCTTGCTTCGCGTGCTACACGGAATGTGGCGACTTGAACTTCCGCACATTTGTGCAAAGTTCTATGTCGAAAACAGACAGACAGACCCTTACGACAGATAGGAGAAGACAAAGAAAACTATAAAACTCAAGTTTCAAAGTCGTGTGATAACAGTTGATATGATTATGAACAATAAATTTTGTTTGAAACGTCATCCAGTAAATAATGCTGTTTCACTCTGTGATGCATGATAAACAAACTAATATGTAATTCCTGTCAAGCCGTTTATTTGCATCGTTAACAACCAGCACCAGTTCGCGATTTCACCGGCATCTTGTAGTTTGATTTTAGCAATTTATCTACTATAATATGTCTGTAACCTTCATGATGGGTCTTCCCACTATTTATTTTTCTGCTGTAGGTGCTTTTGGAACCAATGGTACTCACAGTACTATACATATGGAGTCAACTTAACCGTGATGTTCCTGTTCAGTTCTGGTTTGGTATGCAGTTTAAAGCGATGTACTTTCCTTGGGTGTTAGTAATATTTAACTTGATTGTTCGCGGCAGGTTAGTTCACGTGCATATTATAAATTAATTCGGACCACAGCGCAATGATGGAACTGGTTGGAATAATCGTAGGACATCTTTACTACTTCTTCGTTTTTCAATATCCGCAGGAATATGGTGGCCAAGCAATACTAAAAACTCCTGGGTTTCTGTAAGTTCCTCCTATTCGTACTCGTCAAACTTTTGATTATAATTACATTGTGTGCTGGGGTTTCATAACAGAATATACAGATTGTGACTTTAATAAAGATTTTAAAATATTTTCTAACATACAACTGATTTCCATCTCAAATTCAACCAATCATAAGATTGGTATTGTCTTGCTAGTCGTTCCAGCGCATAGTGGTTCGACTTAGGTACATACAGGTTAAAGTTATTCCAGTAAATTTTCTTTTCTTTTCTACTTTATGACAAAAGTCGGAGTGCTCAGGCTTGAGGTCTCCCTAAATCTTTTCCAACGGGTACGATTTGTGCAGCAACACTCATTCCACTTTTTTGATGAAGGCGTGAGATGCATAGTATAGGTGTTTTCTAGTACTTATCACTTAATAACAGTGGAGCATAACTGACAATCGTTGCAAAATGCTTGACTGCTGCTATACCAAGTGAAGCATGCTTTCACCTTCGAGCGTCATATTTTCCTGTGTAGCCTGCTAGATTACAAAACAAAAAGCCACTTTGGGTCTCATCGTCTAAAGTGTATCAATACCTCAGATAACGAACATTCCAGGTCAAAACTATCACAATTGACACTCGACAGCATTGAAAACAGCAACGTCAGAAACTCCTGCGCTTATGTAGAAGTTTCACAAATGTCATTTAAAACAGTCTACCGTAGTTCTGATGGGTTATCCGTTTCATGCAGTACGACTTCATCATACATTTTGTTAGGCGAATTCAACGTGCACGTAGGCAGTACGAGAAATCTGCAGTCAAGTGTGCGGCGGAACTTTCTGATACTAATTTTCGAAACTCCTTAATATGAATCTTATGCAGCAGGACAGTTTGTAACAGTATGCTGGACAACAATCTGGGTTTTAGTTATGGTACGCTTAGTTATAGTCACTTCACCTGAGATCACTTTTCAGCGGTTTGCAATGTTGATATATCTAGCTTATTTCTGATCGCTTTTGTGATAAACGATCATACACTTCGATAGCAATCTTGGTTAATTTTTTTTCAGATACAGACTTTTTCCGAATCAACGAGGTGTTGTAACTGGCTTTGGAGAAGCCCCTCGCGCAAGACAGCAGACCGCAACAACTGGGAGATTTCCAGGACGTGGGCAGGTATTGGGAAATACTGACTAAGAAAGCTATGTATTTAATGACAAATCTGTCGTTTTTTCTAATAAAAATCTGCACAATTAAAAAATGTTATAAAAATTAAATGCTCAGATTACAACGGCTTTTTTCAGATGACATTTCAATGCAGTAAATACAGGGTTTTAGATAACAGTATTGTAGACGTGAGGCTATGTTATTTCACATTTCACTTCCGAATTGACATGAGTATGATAAGAGGCCTAAACGTAAAACTAAGGTTACATCACGCATTAAAAGTACTTAACGTTTACATGAAATGAGCAGACGTAATATGCAGTTCAGTCACCACTTCTGCTTGAAAATTAGGGTTGCACACATCTTCACTGTTATGAATCCAAACCAAATTTATTGTCTGAGTTCTCAGCGAACAACCTAATCACCGCAACATACAGGTTAACACTGGTTTCGAAACCAACATGCGTCCAAGTTAAGCACAATGGTAGAGGCTGGAGGTCCTTGAATATCCCTCGAGAAGAGAACTGATCAAACCGCAGATATTCGATCAATACATCTTCGCCAAGCTTAAAGCATTGATTTCTTTGTGTTGATTTTGTCGGAGGCCTACAGTCTACGCGTCTATATTTTTAAAAGATCTACTATTCTAGTCACTTGTTATCATCACCAGATTTACTATGAATAGGTATGTTTAGCAGTCTACGTGTCTGACAGACTAATAAACAGACCAATCCGTTGGTTAATTTAGCCAATTGTCCATCACTGAATAATCATTCGGTTATACCAGTAAAATGCAGCAGCTTTTGCAGCCCTGATTATGGTCGGAAGACTTCTGTATACATCCTATCGAAATGAACTAACCTTTTAAGGTAGAACACAAAGAAAATATGCAGTAGTTGTATATGAAGTGAACTGTCCCCTAAATCGTCTCGACGTCCAGTTTCTGCAAAGTTTCATCCTCGGAGACCATTTCACATACCACAGTTCTTTTTAAACACATCCCCTTAAAAACCTAAAAAATAGTTCACAGGTATTAACCTCTGCTAATACCTAAGCTACTTTATTCACTTGCAGTCGTTACAAAGACTCAGTTAAAATACATTTCGGTAGCTTTCGCTCCCCATCGTGTCTGCGACCCACCATGGTAAAACTTATTTGTCCGGACAAAGGAGCAGAGATTCAGTGATATTATCACCTAGCTATACGTCACAAAGTCTTTACATCTGTTTCTACAACGCACCGGGTATGACGCAAAGCTTGTCAAAATTAGTGCTGCTTCTATATGTTCAATTATCTTTGAACTTTAAACGTGGAACTTTACACAAAGGTGCATCATGTTGAGTCGCTGAACTTTATAAAAGTACACAGATATAAAAAAAGAAACTTTGGTAACTAAGAAGACTTGATACATCCGCGACACTAAGAAAAATTTTGTGTCATGTCACTAACAGTCTCCAACCATTAGTTCACTGTCTCGTGCACATTAGCCAGGTAGGTTTCACCTCCACACGTAAATGAAACCAACAGTCGACGAGTCCATGTTTTTGGTTTACACACCCCTAACTCTTCTCTCATCTTAACATGTGTCACCCAACACTGATCGAAGGTACCGGCTCAACAAGCATAACACTTTACAACTTCATCGACCAACTTACCGAAAACTACGTTTAACCTCAGTATTACGAAACATATTGTGACAATCAACATGGCAGATAACGCACAAATACTTGTAGTCTCAAAGACAGGTACGCTCTTTACATCTACTTTCAAGGTCCGTGTCGCACAACTATATGGACCACTTCACTCATTCGAGATGTTGCATTAACCGACTGCTGACAAAATCTCAAAACATGTACAAAAGGCTCGTGTGGCATCCGTCAACTTATGTCTGGTTACCAATCAATGGAAGTGTGGACTGCACAGCAGTTCGCTCTGCCCTTCATTACGGCTATGAGACGTGGCCATTGTAAGTGGAAGAAGCCTAGCTAACTGTCTTTGATCATAGACACTCTATGGAGAATGTTCAGAATCTTGGGGGCATGTTCAAAGACACAAGGTGGGATGTGTTTAATGAAGACTCTCTTGATGACACAATCTCTAATATTACAAGTTATCTCAAATTTTGTCTTGACACCTGTTGTCCCAGAGAAACGCTCTTCATACGATTTGACCGTTTCTCCTCCCCTCAACTTAAAAAGCTTCGCAGACAAATACGTGAGTTACATAAAATGAAGAATAATACTGGTTTGAAAAGAATTAACATACTAGTAAAGTCTGAAATGAACAGGATGAATTCAATTTACAACCAAAAGCTTATATCCCGTAAAAGTGCATCTAATATATGGAGACTTCAAAGAAATTACTGGTGGTAAGCAGATGAACAGTATTCCTTATTCCCTTGATGTTTGAACACTTAACAGCTGTTTTATGCATTCTCCCACAAATGCCAAACTTTCTAGTGTTACAATTATTAATGAAACCTGCTTCCCTGGTTTCAGCACAAATGATGTTCTAAAATGTCTCCAGTCTCTGAACCCTTCTTGTAGCCTGGGCCCAGACAGTTTGCCTAGTGTTATTCTTAAAATGTGTGCAGATTTCCTGTGTTATCCTCTCATGGATATATTTAATGTATCTTTCTCCAGAAATCTCGTACCAGCCGTTTCGAAGGACATTAAAATTGTACCTATACCTAAGTCGTCTACTAGAACATGTTTTAAGTTTAGACCTATTGCTATTACCTACCCTTTTCTAAAAGCTATGGAAAAGTTACTTTTAATTAATCATCAACCTTCACTTAAAGCCTTTAACGATCACAAACAGTTCGCCTATAAACACAGTAGAAGTACTTTGGATGCAGCCGCAGTCCTACATCATAACATAGTCTCCAGCTTAGACAAGGGGGTTAAATTTGTTCACTGCACCTTCCTAGATTACACATCTGATTTCGACTCAGTACCTAGAGACATTTGGTTAAACAAGCTTTCTGAAACTCAAACTGACTGTTGGGTTGTCAAATGGCTGCATTCTTATTTCTCAGGAAGGAAGCAGTACACTGTATGTCAGGGAAAGTTTTCCACCTCATTGCTTACTGAGGCTGGTGTCACTCAAGGCGCTGTCCTTTCTTCTTGCATGACTTGCCTCACTCTGCTGAAATAAACTTTGTTAAGTATGCCCATGATCTAACTATTTATATGTCTGTTAACTCCCAGCTTGACTGTACTAAGATGTCTGTCTGGATTCAACATAGAACTTGGCACCGAAGTGCAGCAGTTCGAGTTGCCACGTTCCAAATAGCACACAGAGGTAGACAAGATGAGTGAAGAGAATCGATAGAGTTTGACAAGTATAAGAGTGAAACAGAATGAGTAATGTTAGAAAGGAATATGAAAGATTACAGAGACTGAATACATCTGCGCCATGTCACCTATTGTCTCCAGCCATTGATTCCTAGAGTCCCGAGGGCCCCGACCGGGAAGTCTCCATCTCCCTACCTACCTGACTCAGTTTAACTGTCAAGGATTTCATGGATTGATGCCATGTTTTTGTTTGGCCACCACTGGCTCTTTTCCAACCTGCACCTATATCAGCTAGTAATGCCCGTCGGGGGAGGCGGTGGTTAGGCATGCGCAGCACGTGACCTAACCGTCTTAGTCTATGTAACTTTATAGCCTCGTCGATTGATTTCCCCTCTTTGCCCAACACTCTACGCCTAACGTCAACATTACTTACCTTATTAAACCACCTAACGTGAGACAGAGATCGCAGACATCACTAAGATGAACAGCTTTCTATCAGGAACTAGCAAATGGCCTTCGTCTAACGGCCTCAAACTAAATCCTTCCAAATATCAGACTGTTAATTTCAGTTTCCGATTTAAACGAAAGTTAAATGAAGCTGTTGGTTCCTATGTCCCTTGCAAAATTGATGACACTGATATAGAAATCAAGTCTGAAGTTAAGTATCTTGGATTAATTCTTTCTTCTGACCTATCCTGGTCTTCCCATGTCTTAGCGATTTCTAAGAGAATATTTCGTCTTTTTATATTAAGAGGTTAAGGCACTCAGGCATAACCCAACCCCTCCTCTTACAGTTTGTCAACTCTTGCATCCTACCTATTCGTCTTTACTGTTCACTATTATTCTTTCCTGAATTGCTTAAAAAAGACTGTCATATTTCGTAGAACTCTGAAGACTGTCATGTATTGCCAGCGCCTCCGCCATACACAAAAGCCGGAACCTGACGCCTTTTGTACAATTTGGCAATACATCAATACAACCCTGATCTCTGTATACAGAAAAAGTTTGTCCAGTCTCTTATTCTACCTTGGTCTTAACCTCTTCACTTATCCTTCCCTGTTAAAAAATATTTTTGATTTTGTTCTTAATCTTTAATTTTACTTTTAGTTTGCTTTTGCTTTAATAATTAATTCACTATTATCAATTTCATATATTTTGACACCTTCTTCACACTTGTTAAATTGACACTCTAATAACTTTATTCTCACTCAAGAGCAATTTTAACCTTTTCTAACTTCTATCTTTTTTCCGTCAAGTACCATGTAATTTACAACTTTTAATTTTCACCTCTAAAGCCACTTATGATTAATTACAGCAATTATGTCACCCCCTATTATTCAATAATAGACCACTATACATTCTTCTAAGTATAAATACGACTGTACAGCCTCTGAAGATGATTTCGTCGATAAAGAAAATTTTCTTCGCTGAATCCGTCTTTTATTTTCTTCATGACTCAATGGGTACTCTCAATTTTTTTTCATTAGTGTGAACATAATTTAAGCTGTTATAACTGTTAATTTTGTATTTCCCCTCACTGTACTATATCAACAGAACATTAGATCCAATAATCTATAACATGCTAAAGTTTCCAAACTGAATCAACAATACTGTTTGAAACAAACTCACTGTTATTATTACTATACTTAATATTCTCAATTCGCGCTTCGAATATTTTTGACTTTATATCGTAAACGTGGTCGAACTCCTCTGGTTACTTTTGTTTTAATTCTTAGTTTTATTTATATTTTAAGTAAATCAGATGCAATATTGTGACAAATGCTGAGAATTCTATTCTGTATTATAAGTACTGTCTTTTGGAACAAAGTAGATTATTATTTCTCGTTTTGTGGTACAATATGGAGCTTAGGCAGAGGGAGGCAAGTTTAACTATAAAGTTGTGGTTCAGATGGCTGGGACACGTGTTACGCCCAGCCACCACCGTCCTGGATGAGCAATATCAGCTGACTTAGGATTAGTTTGGAAGGGGTTACCAGTGGTCAAATTAAAACTTAGCACCTATCGATGAAAATATTGACAGCTAGTTAAAGCCATATGGGGAGGTATAGACTGCCCGGTTGGGGTCTCCGTAATACTAGGGCGTAGATGATTTCAGACTGTTGGTGATGCCTCAAAATGGACTCACCATATATCATCTAAAGAGTTGTTTTCCAATGTTACCATTTGTGCTGTCTCATATTTCTACTTACTACAATTCTTACGAATCTCTCCTCTCTCTTTTGCCTGTGTTTGTATGCTACAAGGAGTGTGTTACTTTGAACTGATACACTTATGAGCAAACTTCTATATTCAAACTTAGTCAGCAGCTTCAAAACATTGAATTTCTTCGATAATTTTCTTATTTTTATTTTATGAGTATCTATATCGCTTCAACTTTTACTACCTACCAGTTTTTCCATTATTTTGCATATAACATATTCACCATTTACATCAGCATTCTACCAGCCATAACAGGAGACCCGAGTAAGAGCTCCTTGAGAAATATTATTGTATATACATAGGTGCTAGGGTGATGAATTACAAAACTAGTTGAATAAACTTAACAACGTCAACGACTAAACTGCAAATCAAAAGGGAAAAGTAACTAAAATTGTGTACCCATAATTCATTAATACTCAAATATCAGACTTGACCACCATAAACTGTGCAAACAGGTAAAGGTAAAAGAAGTAGAGAACAAAGCGAGCCAAGTTATATAATTATGGCTATACAGATAAAGACTAGACCATAAAGAACTTTTGGAGTTTATGATCTGCAAACAAATGGATGAGATGTAAAGACAACACAGAACTAAACATGATCACGAAATGAAAAGGGGACAGGGAGAAGTACATATAACAGCCCTTCTAGAGTCAATTTCAACTTGTTCTGACACTTTGTCCCATAACTACAGAAAAGTACAGCAGTAGAAGATAGTAGAAAAAGAAAAATTCTTACAGGGTATGGGATTGTCTTTGCGTGATAGATCAAAAAATCTAAGCGCAATCATTGACAAGCTCAAAACAAATTCACTGTGAGCTAATCTAGTAACACTAAATTGTGGCTGTACAGAGGACAAGAGTGAAGAAATCATTAACTACTCAATCCAAATAAAATGAAAAGCGGGCTTCTGTATTTCTGTAGTTGACGAAGCTATCACAAAATGAGCATACGTTCATTGGTGAAATAAGAAACTGCATTAAATAACACTGTGCGTTCTACAACTAAGAAAAAAGTCATGATATATTCACTTAGGTGAAATCAACCGGAAAGCAAGAAATGTTACGAACAAAATAGAAAAACAATGAAGAGGATCCCATTCCTGACAGAAAGACGGAGAATGAATTCTCTGGATTTAAGAACTGAAGTTAATAAGAAATTATCAGCTAAAAGCATAAGAATTTGGGACTTCGAAGTAAGCAAGAAAAACATTCTGTTAGTTTCAGCTGTTTAAAATCCTACGCATTCATATTTGTAGGACTAATTGGCTAACTAGTTTACGTAATTTATATCACACACATCTGACATGTTTTTAAACTTTCGAAACAGTGCAGAAAGCAAACCTGCGCATATCGCTTCAGCAACAACTGGTAAACGTGAACATGCGCATACTGACCAAAGGAAAAAAGAAGAAATTAGACCCGCACATTAAGGCAGTAAAAATCAAAATGACACTATGCAAGAAAAAATGTGTAAATTTTCAAAGAAGTGGAATTAAGAAAGAGATTCAGATTGACACCAAAGTTTGCAACATACTTCCAAAACGTTAAAATACCGAGTGGGACAAAGCAGTAGTAGTGACAACTTTAAGGAGATCATAAAATTAAGATTTTACTGTTATTCAGTGAAGGGGACTCAGATAATTACATCACTAATCTGAGAATTCCGATTACAAACATGATTTTCAAATCATAATATTGTCTGAATTATATTTATGATTGTAGAGATATCTGAAAATTCTAAACATGTGAGCTGATGTGCAATGTTGGGTCCTCAAATGCAGTTTAACAGAGATTGATAGATTTATAAAGAGAATAAAATATTCAACTAGATTCGATGCACTGGATGACCGAAATCATAATAAACTAATTATGAGATGGTATTCACAAGCGTTGGGGTTTTAAGACCACGTATAACCCCAAAATATGATGGAAGAACAGAAATCAGAGTTAGTACCTACGAAAAATGTTCCTATAGTAATTCATACTGCCGTAGATGCATTCGCTGAATGATATCACGACAATCATTGAATACCCGTCGTATATTTTCTGTATCGACTGCACATGTTAAGTGAGGGTAACAGTAATGGCGTCCACCATTATTATTTGATGTTACTTTCTAAAATTGGAAAAAAAATTTATACAGGGATAAGAAAATTTTCTCAGACACTGGAAACATAATGAAGAACCGCATCACTAATAACGTAATAAAATCAATGTTAATCCATTGACAGTAATGAAATTTATTTGAGAAACTTTGGAACTTACAAGGAATTCGTCCCGGAAGAAAAATCGGGCACGTACAACTTCTGAGTTTTCATGACGGTATTCCGCCAACGCTGCACAAAATGAAAAAGTTCATTAGATGTAGTCTATCAACCATATGCTGATGTAAACAAATGGGAAAACAAACAAAAATTCAACCAGAAATAACGTTTTAAAATGGAAATTTAATGAATAAGTACCAAAAGTAATTAACACATTGAAACTAAAAATCTCACGATCTTTCTAATTATTTAAGTAAACTATACACTTTTCCACGAAGTGCAAACAGACAACTGTTGATAAATACGTCTTCTCTTTTAATAATTGATTTTTCCAATAAATAAAAACACCGAGTGTTCATTCATATTCATCGACGATTACTGATTGGCTGACAAGTAAAGATTTGATATCATAAGAGTATTATTCATACTTCCTAAGCATGAAGCACACATAAAATAAGTCAACTTCTCGCCAAATATCTGTTTCTCGATCAAGCTGTTTCAATAAACATAAGTCTTTGGATTCAGAAAGAACGATTTTCAAACTCCTAAACAGAAACTTAATCACTTAAGGTTTTAGTTAAATTCACCTTTTATTTCACACAGTAGGTAAGTGTTAAAAGTAACCCCTTCCTCTCATGTAAAACTGGCGGGATTATCAATGTTTCGTATTACTCTTTCACCACAAGTGGAATCTCAAACGTGAAACTCTCAACATAATCAGCTTATCAGATAGGACAACTTTGGTTTCGAAACCAACATGCGTTCAAGTAGTGAAGCTTTCGTCAAACGACAAACTCAGCTGTAAACTCATATCAGCTAGACACCGTCTTCAAGATCTCTTGAAAAACAGAGGCGAATATTGTAGTTAACCAAGATTACATTCATTAGTGCTCACAATCAGACTAAAAAAGAATTGTGACAATGAGTATCCCTTCTGGTAGGCAAGCCACACAACTGTCTATAAACTCGTGCACGGCCGCATTTCTGACGTAATGAAGCACAAAATATATTGGTGGTACCTGTGGAGTTGTATTCAGAAAATCATCTGTTCCCTGTCAGCAGTAATTTCAAACCCAGAAATACATCGTCTAACCTGGTTACTGCCGTTATCAAATCAATTATGAATCCAAATAGACCACAAGGCGATATGTTGTCGATGAATACGGTAGAAGAATGTCCCTCCTTCTGAAACACTTGCGTAGACCCCGATCGCAACCTAGTCTATACAATTGTGTTTACGATTAGACGGAGATAGAATACAGACAGTAATGAAGCTGTTACTGATCGAACTTGGCCAGGACACCAAAGTCCATTTCTAAGGTTGAAATACCTAAATGCATATCTGATTGACAGCAAGACTGATTTTAAAGCAGGCCGGGATATTATCCTATTAACTGTAAAAAGTGGATTCACTTCCTTTGACCCCTATATCATCTAAACCCTTGTGTTTTCCAATGTTACCATTTCTTCTGTCTCATATTTCTATTTACTACAATTCTCTCGAATGTGTCCTCTCTCATTTGCCCGTGTTTGTGTGATACAAGGAGTGTGTTACCTTGAACTGATGCACTTCTGAACAAACTTCTATGTTCAAACTCCATCACCCAAATACTCTAACAACGAATGTGAACAAGTGGAAGTTTGAGGGTACTTGTGATAAGCGACCATCGCAGCTTTTTTAGCTGGAATTCCGAAATTACCAACACACTTCTACAAACAACAGCTAATATCACTATGATACATTCAATTTTGCCCATCGATTTACAACCGCAATCAGTAGGGCAACAGAGATAATAAATGGGTCTTTTATTTCTTGAATTGTTTTCTGATTACACGATGTCTTAAAACTCCGAAATAACTAGGATGCAGTGTAATATCAAACGATAAAAATAACCGCAATCGTGTTTCGTAGGATTATCTCATACACACAGAATACTATATTTAGTGAAGGGTTGTTGTATGACACAACACAGGATATACCTTGGAATACAGTTTAGAAAAGCCGTTTAACAGAATGCATGAGGAGCTGGGAGAAACTAAAATAGATTAGGGTTAGTGTTAGCTGAAGATGTAGAGAATTTGGAGTGCAACATTGCGTGTTAGGTTTGAGTACTCCTCAACAGGTAAGTCTTTCTTGATGACACCACTCAAGGTGATTTGTAAAAAACGCCTCAACAGCAATGATTACTACTGAATATTGGTAAAACGACAGATACTTCATAAAAATGTTAGTTTTATTGCATAAAGGTGAAAACTGTATAACGGTATTAAAGTGAAGGTCAAAAATCAAATATGGGAATATCAATATTAACAGCTGTGATATATCAATACAAGTTCAGTTACTGACCACTGAGATAACAGAATCTTAGTAGATGCAGTGAAGTTGGAATTTGTGACTCTGCCTATAACTTGAGTGTCTAAACTGATAAACTACAGCAAAAGCTATAAAATTAGAAAGGATATGAAAAAGCAGGAGAATGCGATACTACAACTGAAACAAGAATAACGTTTAAATGCATCTGCTAGACTTTGATCAATTTTTAAAAGCATTACTCACCTTCCAACCTTTTTATTAACTATACTTACAGACCCCTCACACAAATGGGCTTGAAATGATGCAATATTGCCGTTAATCAGACATGTAGTAAAAAACTACGATTCGTGTTAATCGTAAACAACACTTCGATAATGATGACGACGGTTGTTTTAGAATACACGATTGATTCAGATATGCTCTTGATCTCAATTCTGAACTCATGTACAATGCACTCTTGAACCTCAAATATTTTAGAAAAAACTTAGCTCTGACTGGGCTTTACATTTGCTGTCAAAATATGGGAGTAAATGTATTATGGAGACTAGCCAGCTAACATTAAGAACAGTTACTACATATTATTTAGTAGCACTTGACTTCGTTAAGCAAACGATGATCTAAAACTTGAAGGATATCAAATACTGTTGTCTACTATACATTGTAGTTTGTAATGGAGTGTTTGCGAAAACGTGGAATTATAATTTAATATTTCCACTAATGCCACTAGAATCACAGGAATTTATTTATATTTTAGGAAACAACATTAAAACATCTTATAAAATTAATTAGGTTGTAACAATATGACGCATAAACAAATATGATATTTTTATCATGCACCAAGCGAGGCTTTTCACGCGAAAATCGCCTTACCTGACAAATTCATAGGAATGATATGCATTAATGGAATAAAGGGAATCTAAAGAGATAAATATTTTTGAATGTTTCTTTAAAATACAAAATAACAGATTCATGAAGTACTAATTAGCAAAACATCAAAAAATTAAAATGATGAACTAAACAGCTTACTATCAGCTGGAGCTTGATAAGTAGCATAATGAGGAAAATAAACTTCTATTTTGGACTTCCCGGCCAAAACTTTCTCCGTTAACAAATCTTGCTTGTTGAGGAAAAGAATCACAGATATGTTCCGTAGCCACCTACATCACACAGCCAAAATAACAAACGCCTACTTTAGAATAATGGTAATAATAATGGCAGCAGTAGTAATAACAAACCGATCAGGTTTCTTTAAATACTATGAGGACAGTTAGGAAGAAACAGAATCAACTAAACAAATTCACATCACCAGCGTTATAAAAATGCTAAATAGAAACCCACAATTTCGTTGCATAGTGTAATGCCAAGTAACATAATCAATGTATTTTTCATTTTGTTAAGCATTTTACAAATAACTAAAACTTAGCAATTCGATAGCAAAAGATAAGTAAGGGAAAATAATACTTAACCTCTTGAAGTTACTACTCACATTGATGTAAGTGTAGAATATCGGCACTGTGGTAAAATGTAATTCTATATTAGATAATTTTATTTTAAATATCACACCGATGCAGTAACAACAACTGGATGAGACCTCTGTGGTACTGCCACACAGAGAAGGAACGTCAGAGGTCTTACGTAGGATTCTCAATGATGCTGGAATTGGAGTGGCTTTTAAACCAGCCGACTCGCAGAGGTAAACTTTGTCGGCTTGAGCATTCAACAGATCCAATTTAGAAAAATAATATAATTTACCAAATACTGTGTAATGACTGAGGTCAACTACATAAGTTAAACCAGTAGATCGGGGTCAACTAGATTATTGGAACATAAAAATTTAGCTAGACGTAGAATAATTGACCCTGCTACGTTAAGTAATCTAGAAAGAAGCTCAGTCACTGCACCGCATTCACTTGCATGTAATCAAAATTTATGGTGGGACAGGGTGAGAGTATTGAAAAGTAATAAAGTTAGGTGCAGAGACAGAGAGGTTAATCACTGAAGCTTTGTTTGTCGACTCAACACCGCACACGTGCAATCGAAATGACGCAACGCATATATCGGAGATTTGGAAAGTGGAAACAAACAACAAAGGGAAATTGGAAAAACAGAAAGAGAATATATATATATATGACAAACTGAAACCGTGTGCCTAAAAATTGATATGATTATGAGCAATAATTTATGATAGAAACGTCATCCAGTTGTTAATACTGCATCCTTGTGAGATATTAGAAATAATATGGCATTACTCACATTACTGCATAAGAAAGATGAGTGTAAGTCATCTTTACCACGGAAATAAACTTTGCTTTATCGGGAACCAAGACTCACAACAGAGAAATTGCTTATAACTTTACACGTAAAGCTGGTTAGCTACGTCAACTATAATGAGGAAAGCTTCAACCCAGCTACATTTTAAAGTATATTTAACAGTGTATACTTTGAACCTTTGGTTTACTTTAAGTCCACAGACCAGTGTAAAATACCACATCGAATTTTAGCTCACTGGCCTACGTATACGACTTGCTCAAGATGGGCTAAAAATTATAGCCCCAATTCATTTGTGAAAATTAGGGCAATCATGCTGTCATTAGTGTTTACACGGTATGCAAGAAAATTCATATGGTTGACGAGTTAAGTTTCACTGATTACTTTAGCACTCTAGCTCAACATTACAAGCTTTCGCCCCATACATGAGCTTACATACTTAATCGAAATTTTACTACTCTTAATTTTATAGCCCATTATTCACTCCTGATTTACCGTAAAGTGCAACAACTACTCCAGGATCCACAATTTTCTCAAATTCTTACAAACATATATATGAAAGCACTTAGGTCAGTATTTTCAAATGAATCATATCAATTACTTTTATTCTTAATGTGCAACAGTAAAATAATCCTGTGATTCATTATTCGTCCATTCTCTTAGTGAAACCGATCACACCGAAGCTGCTAAAAACGCCGAAATAAGGAAACACTTAGATAAATCAAAAATAGGCAAATCGCATGATCGATTATTGAATCTATTACGATTGAAAAACTAAAGGAACAAAGCTTAAATGTGTAAGTTCAGAAAAATAAATAATAATAGAGGGAGCGGTACACCCAACATAGTGCTACGTATGCCCCATTACCGACTTCTACCATAACCTTGTATTCTGTGCTTCGTTAACACTACTAGAACTGATAATCAAAAGTACACATTAGCATTATGTATTGTATCAGCTTAACCTCGCCAGATTACTAGCTTGCTAGGCTACTAGCTTTTAGTTTTCTCGCCGGTCCCAAGCCCGGGTAAAGAGGGAGGGTTGGGGCGTGGTGCTAGCAACTCCACCCCTGTAAAACAACCAAATCGCTACAGAAACTTCAACGAATAAATATATTAAAAATTCTAAAAACATAAGCAATAGCCTTACTTTTCGCTGGAATCGGGGAAGTGAAATGACGCAGGCTGGTGAAAGCCTTCGGGAAGCCAGTCAGCCGATGTGCCTTCTTTCGATGAAAGCAAAAGTAAGGATGGGTACCTGGAATGTTCGTACAATGTACGAAACTGGAAAGGCTGCCCAGATAGCCGCTGAAATGAGAAGGTACAGAATAGAAGTGTTGGGAATCTGCGAAAGCAGATGGAACGGAACTGGAAGGTGCCAACTACCTACTGGAGAGACAGTAATCTTTCCGGCCACCAGAGGACAACCATGAGCACACCGAGGGAGTGGCCATCATGATGTCACCAACAGCAACCAAAGCTCTCATGCAGTGGGAACCAATCTCCTCCAGGATAATGACAGCCAGGTTCAACTCAAAAGGAAGGAAAGTTACAGTCATTCAATGCTATGCGCCTACAAACGTCTCAGAACAAGAGAAGAAGGAGGCGTTCTACAGACAACTACAAGCAATAATGGACAACGTCCCAAATGGCGATATCAAAATCCTGATGGGCGACATGAATGCGAAGCTGGGAGGAGACAACACAGGAAGAGAACTCACCATGGGTCGTGAGGCCCTCGGCGAAATGAACGACAATGGTGAACTCTTCTCAGACTTCTGCGCCTTCAATGATTTGGTGATTGGTGGTAGTGTGTTCAAACACAAGGATATACACAAGACGACATGGATTTCACCAGATGGAAACACCAAGAACCAAATAGACTTCATCTCAATTTCAAGAAAGTGGAGACGGAGCCTACTGGACACAAGGTCAAGGAGAGGAGCAGATGTGGGTTCAGACCACTATCTAGTACAAGGGACTTTCAAGGTGAAACTAAAAGCCTCGAGGATAGCTGGGGATAGGCCACAATGCAAGTTCAACACTCAGAACTGAAGGACACAACCACAAAAGACACTTTCACTGCAACTGTCAGAGCAAAGCAGGAAACACTACGCGACATCACTGAAGAATCATGCGTGGAAGAACATTGGAAGTCTCTGAAGGCGATTCTCAACGAAACGTGTTCAACGGTTCTAGGAAGAAAGAAGAGACAAGACAAGGAATGGCTCTCAACGGACACTTGGAAATTAATAGAAGAGAGGAGAATGGTGAAAGAGAAAATGATTCAATGCAAGGACGGACAGGAGAAGGAGACGCTGAGCTCAACTTACACAGCACTGGACAAAGAAGTGAAGAAGAGTGCTAGGAAGGACAAAAGACGATTCTACGACAACCTGGCCACTGAAGCTGAGAAGGCAGCAGGCAAAAGGGACCTGAGGACACTATATCAGATAACCAAATCTCTATCCGGGAAGAGACCAACACAAGCGAAACCTATAAAAGACAGCCAAGGGAACCCAATTACCAAGGAAGAAAAACAGATTAAACAATGGGCGGATCACTTCAAAGGACTCTTGAACCGACCATCACCTGCAACCCGTCCAGAAATACCAACAACAGCGCGCACACAACTGCAAGTTGACACCAATCCTCCAACGAGAGCTGAAGTCTTGAACGCAATCAAGCTTCTGAAAGCTGGAAAAGCAGCCGGACCAGATGGAATACCCCCTGAAGCACTGAAAGCGGACCCAGAGACTACAGCAGACATGCTGACTCCATTATTGCAAAAGGTCTGGAAGGAGGGAAAGGTGCCTACTGACTGGAGGAAAGGTTACCTCGTGAAACTACCAAAGAAGGGCGACTTACGCCTCACTCTGCAAGAACTGGCGAGGAATCATGCTCCTATCGACGCCAAGTAAAATCCTGAGTCGCATCATCCTGGAGAGATTAAAGGACGCACTGGAGACAGAACTCCGACCAGAACAAGCTGGATTCAGGAAAGGCAAATCATGTACTGACCAAATTGCAACTCTACGCATCATCATCACAGAACAAAGCATGGAATGGCAATCAAACCTCTACCTCAACTTTATAGACTTTGAGAAGGCCTTCGACAGCGTTGAACGTGAAGTAATTTGGAAATTACTCGAGTACTATGGCGTACCCCAAATATTCATCAACCTTATTCAACAGCTGTACGACAACGGCACATGTCAAGTGATCCACAACGGAAAACTCAGCGAGGCGTTTGGAGTAAACACAGGAGTCAGACAAGGGTGCTTATTATCACCAATGATATTCCTAATTGTGGTGGACTGGATTATGCGTCAGACAGTGGGAAACGAGAAGACAGGAATATCCTGGACCGACGTGAAGAACCTAGAAGACCTGGATTTCGCGTGATGATTTATGTTTGATGTCACACAAAATCGAAGACTTACAAGCGAAAACCGACAAACTGGTCGAAGAAGCAGCCGATGAAGACAGGACTCCATGTGAACATAGACAAGACGGAGGTTATGAAAATAACCAACCAACAACAACAACAAGCAACATCCAGCGTCAATCACCATCAAACGGAGGGATTTGAAAGAGGTTACTTCATTCACTTATCTAGGGAGCATTGTCTCAACTACAGGCAGTCGGAACGGACGGGGATGTCAAATCGAGAATCGGGAAGGCGAGAAACACATTCATCAACCTGAAATCAATCTGGAAATCTTCGTCACTCAGCATCAACAACAAAATTCGGATTTTCAATACAAACGTAAAGTCAGTTCTTCTATACGGATCAGAAACTTGGCGGGTCACAAAGAATATTTCCAAAAGGCTGCAGACCTTTATTAACAACTGTCTTCGCTCTATACTGAAGATCAGATGGCCGGAAAGAATCACCAACAAGGAATTATGGGAACAAACAAAGCAAGAACCAATCGCCCAACAAATATGCAGGAGAAAGTGGAGATGGATCGGACACTCGCTGAGGAGACCGCTGGGTGACATCGCGCGTCAAGCCCTCGAGTGGAACCCGAAAGGGAAGCGGCGTGTGAGACGTTCAAGGGTGACATGGAGAAGATCGTGTGAACAGGAGTTGAAAGAGTATGGACTAACATGGATGCAGGTGAAAAGTACGGCAGAAGAGAGAAGCAAATGGAGACGTGCAGTTGAAGCCCTATGTTCCAGTAGGAACCCAAGGGAGCAATAATAATTGTATCAGCTTCCAGACTTGCAGTATGGGATCTAACTTTTTTCACGTGATATATCACTCCCACACTATAAATCCGTTCGCATAATCCCAGAAAGCTTACTAAAAGCATATATCACGGAAACAAAACATCTTAAGTGCTCAGTGATCGTATGTGTGCAATACGATATCGTTCAGCCTGAAACAGAACTAACCATGCTTCGTCTGTGCATGAGACTAAAAATTTCGCCACAGGATTCTTCCAAAGGTATAGAGCGGAAAATTTATTTCCTAATACGAAGCAAGCAACAAGCGTTAGTAAAACAGGATTTAATGAATTGATAATATTACGGTATGTTTCAACAGCTTAATACTCTACATAGAGACACATATATATACCATTAGAACTATACTGGGAGACGTACGGCTTATAAGCAAATAAACCACTGAATTAGTCATACAGAACGATAGGTGAATCTTTCAGACTACGGACATGATATTGGCGCTATCAAGACACTCACTGTTGTCAGTAGACAAATAAACAGGAAGACGCTCAGGAAGGGTTGTGTAATTGAGTTTACAAACCTGGTATTCGTGTTCAGTAAAAAATGATGGTCGCTTTGGATCTACCATGGGACTGTCTTATTTATTAACTGTTATTATTATTAAACATTTTATTCTACCCATTGCTGGCTGGTTTCAGCATAGAACTTTGCACCAATGTGCGGCAGTTCAAGTCGCCACACTCCATGCAGCAAGAGAAGGAAGTAAAAAGAAAAGCAAAATGGAGACAGTAAACAGAGATATGGGGCAAAAAGAATAGTAATATTGAAGGACAATATAGTTCCATTGGAAATCATAAGTCACAATGAATGAATGAGTCTGCACCATTGGGAACGGTTTTGAGCCATATCACCGACCATCTCCAGCTATTGGTTTCTACCGTCCCGATGACTCCACCCAGGAAGTATACACCTTCCTACGTGGCTCAAACTAACTGTTGTGGATTTCATTGACTGATGCCATGTTTTCATTTGACCACCAACGGCTTTTTTCTAACTCAAACCTATGTCAGCTAACATTGCCCGTCGAGGCTAGGCATCTCAGTCGATGTAGCTTGACAATCTCGTCGATTGATTTCCACTCAACCGATGCCTAACCTTAATATTGCTCACCCTCTAAGACTACTTCCCATGAGAGATAGAAGGTAGACTCCTGTGATCAAAGAGAGCTAGCCTTTTCAAGTCTTCCGCTCTCAACGGCCAGGTCTCATAGCCATAGAGGAGGACGGAGCAGACTAATGAGCAGTACACCCGCCCTTTGGCCGATAGCCGGATATCACGTCTACGCCAGAGACGGTGTAAACTGGCATATGCGAAAGTAGCCTTCTGCATCTGTCCTGAGAATTCGTGAGCAACCAACCCGTTAGCTTGGCTGATGCAACTTCCAAATAAGTGAATAGATAGGTAGAATAATAATTCCACTGATCATTACGCTTTATTAGTATCAGTATCTTGATTGAATATTTTCATACTATCATTGTCATCAACATTTCCCAATTTGCAATATCTGATATATATTCAAGTTTTCTCCGATAGGCAATTGTCAATTTGAGTGATGTAACTGAACAGTTATGCATTATTATATTAATTTTAATGCCATATTCCCTTTCTTCTATAGATTTGCCTACGACATAAAATGAATCCACAGCTGTCGTTTTGCATGACTGATTTGATGTAATTTATTTACTTATCATTCTGATACCTTGCAATGTAATTCTAATGATATATATATATATGTATATATACCGAAATTTGACGAATTCATTAAATCCTGTTTAATTGACGTTCGTGGCTTGTTTGATGATATTATGACCAAAACACAGTAGCGCACACCAAACATGCTTTTGTATAGTAGTGATCTAGAAATGTGATCACAGAAACCTAGTAATAGCTGAAAATACCAAGGATATCTTCTTTGAGTCATGTAAGCGAGTAAAGTACTTGATGTAGGACCTACCTGTCTACAATTCCCAGCTACAATCCTTTTGTGGTAGGACTTAAATACAGCCACGACGGGATGGATATGCTTACCCAATACTGTCTTCAAAGAAACCCATCAACGTTTGCTCAATTTTTTAAAAACTATATCTGTGCACTTTAATATTATTTTTTACCAAGCTGAAATGCTGCACATTCTTACTGATAATTACATTAAGACTTCCGAACTGCTCTTTTCGAAATTTTGCTTTTTAACATGGTGGCTGCTGTAATTAAGAACCACGTAGGTTGTTACAAGTTAAGCTTTCACAGTTGCCCACAGATAGTGATATAGTCCTACCCCCCAAACACTGTAGAACAAAAATAATACATTTCAACAACACCACGAATAGTCACACAGTCGAATAACTGAACAATCTTGACGAGTTTGAATTTTCGGTCCAGTTGCTAAGACTTTAGATCCTACACCCAATAGCTAAAGTTGGGGTAGATGCGGAAAAATTACCGACACTTAGCAACCTGTAACAGTCTATGATACATTTAGAGCTGTAACGCAACCCAAGCTTAAGTTCTTGATGTCATGAAAAAGAAATATACATGTTTGCTGTTGTTTGAACATTAGTAACGACATGAAGAGGGAAAAGAGTATTTTTAGGCGTAAATAAATTGAATGAATGGGTGCATAGTAGATAAATTACGAGGATGTACAGTTTAAGGTCAGTAAGATTGATTATCTGGATATAAATACGCCACACAAAATTACAAAGCAATGTGGCAGAAAGGAAATAAAATAATTGAGAAGTGGCGAAAGTAAACAGCTCAGCATACTAATCATTTAGCACAAATCTAAGTCACACAGAACTAGTAATTCTAAAAGGGCATCGCTTATTGAAAGATAACTATGTTCAAATACCATATGTGACCTCAGGATTCTTCGCATGGTGTTGTCACCAGACGAAAGCAATCATACGCATACAAAATCATAAATATATCCCCAATGGGGAATCATGTTGCACATGTTTGCATTCAGGCGATACACAGTACACATACCATGCTTTAGCGCACTGCCCGTCAAACAATTGTGGTAAGACGTTCTCACCTGCCTTTTCAAGTTACAAAAGTTTTGTTCTGGCATTACGTCTATACTATCAAAATGCACATCCTTCTTGGATGTCCGCAGAATGCTAAGATAAAATTGAATGACTGCCTAACCCCTAAAATGATGACAAACCGTTGTACGCCCTCAGTAAACTGCTTTCTTTTTCAAGCATATGACTCAACAGAGCAGTCCAATGCAATAAACCTAAGTCAGCCCTAATAACAAGGAAGAAAACGATAGCTAGCTTGCAATATATATGACAGTGTATTGGTAACTAAAAGAGGATGGTGTATATGAACAATTAAATCTAATCTACTCTTCGTTAGGTTCTCAAGCGTACATTAAACGAAAGCACAAACGAATTTAATTTACGAGTTGTCTTAACTTACCAAATCACTTCTGACTAGTTTTCTTCCCCAGACAAAAAAACAGCTGGGACAATGACTAAAATGTAATGACTGGAATAATAAGTGATCAAAACTTGCGAAACCTTGCAATCTAGCCTGAACAAAAAGTAGTCAAGTTGAAATATTACGCATGGCCGTCAAAATAATGAAAATGTGGGATCATTTACATAATCAGTGATCCTGGAATTGTGCATCATCAAACTATTTTTTGAAAAATTATTCCAACAGTGGATGAAGATTGTATTCACGTAGGATATAAGGTGAACCTTTGTGACATCCTAAGACGTAGAGAAACGATTTTAGTATGAAAATCATACGAAACTGTTAACGTGTTTCAAATCAAAACGGCATTAATTATTCATTTCACTGATATTATAGTGCAGAATTTCTAAATAATGCACAACATGCGTTCATGTATTATTAATGCACGAGTCCCTGACTTGAAGAGGACAATTTCAATAACTTATTTAACTAACCGATGAAGTCAATGAGTTAAGTGAAAGCACTCACAAACAAAATGTTACAAATCCGACCTTTTTCTTCAGCCAACAACTCAAACCCAGCATAACACCGTAAGTTTAACATTTTAAGAAATTCACATCTCAAGTTTTACAAGTACATGTGGCTGTATATATAGCTAATAAAACTTTTTTCAAACAATCAAATACTCACTTCCACCTGACCATCTTGAATGATATAACGAAAAAGACCAGCAGAAATTACGAATAAAACTGTAAATCTCAACTAAATGAGTGCGAGACGGCAACAAAATAACGCCCAAGAAGTCAAATCAAACTAGCTCTTGACAGAGAACAAACTGACCTGTTATTCCATATGGAAGCAAGAAGTTCTAAGGATTCTTTGACACGATTCTGACTGGGATCTTCCCGCAGCACCATGTTGTAGGAGGAACACGCAGCTACAAATATTATTGCAGTGACGTCGTTAAAACATTGGATCCATTTGCGGCGTTCCTCCCTCTGCCCACCAACGTCAAACATGTGGAAATTGACTTTATCAACGCTGAACTTTGTTTCAAATATTCCAGAGGTGAGTACACGACAGCGTAAAATATCTTGCTCAGATGGGATGTAATTCGAAGCCCCAACATCCATTGCCTTATCAAGGAAACTAAGAGGATTTAGAATGACAAGAACAACGTACTATTTGGCGCAGTCAATTAGCTGATACTCATTTGACCTTTCGAAAGTTTCCTGTATGCCTCCATCCTTCCACAATTTGGCACAATACGAAAAAAATTCCTACACAATGACAAAAGTTTAGCACTCACTTGTGGATAGTCATAGTCTGGTTTCGATGCAGTTTCTAACATATAATCCCTTAACTTTTTGTTTTCACTGAGTTCAAGCTCTACCGGTGGTCTAAGGGCACTCATAGCTCCTGCTATGGACTGAGAAGTATTTAGTCAGAATAACAACTTACACATATAGCATCACGGAGATTCTTACGGATTGCATCTATTTTCTCCTTTTTCTCTCTGGTTTACCGTATAAGAATACTGTGTAAATCTTACCTCTCTGAAAACCCATCTATGTGTAGTATGCGCATCTGTTTCACAATTGTTGACTTCCCTGACTCCCCAGCACCTTTTATTGAGTATTAATTGCATTATTTTGTTAGATATACCCAAAAGTAATAATCTGTGTGTAGATTTGAAGTTCTTCTTTTCCTTTTCAATAAGCTTCTCGATCTGTTTATTGGCATCACTGCGAGTTTTGGCATCTTCCGATATATTGTTAAGTGTACAACACCCGATAACCATTTTTATGATAAGTAGAGATATTTATCGGTACAACCGAGGTGTGTGAAAGTAAACTAGGTCATACATTAGAATTACACTACATGAGCTAAGGTAAATGAAGGCATCAGCTAAATTAGAAAGTGGCTTCGTTAAACAATACATTCAATCCTCAATAACGATACATTTCTCTAATATTCGTGAAATTTGGTCAGAAGTTAAGGGTTACAAACTAATCATTGATATTTCCAGTTATCTAGGCATTTATATTCACTTTTAAATCGATAAAGATATCTTGTCATTACATTAACTGACAAATTTCAATTATCAATTTCACAATAAAAAACATACATATTTACACGGTTAGATTAAATGTTTATCGTGAACTCTTTGCATTTATTAATTTCAAATAGTTCGGTTCCTTGGCATAAAGCTTCGGGTTTCTGAAAGATTCAAGAGAATGTTTCTCAATCTTCGTTTAGATATACGAAAATCCATCACTATTCATAGCACGGCATAAAGATCCAGAGGAGCCGCCCAGTTTATATTTTTTGGTGTAGTCGCCAGCTGCATATCATTGGAGGTCCTAAAACCAAAGGTAAATGTAAAAGTGACCTCAAGAGATTTTGGTTTTTTAAAGCCGACTTGCAATTTCATCGTACTGTTCATGGTATAATTTGGTTGAAATTATTTCTGGATCTCTACACATGTTACACCTACCAAGAAACACGAATAAGCGAGTACGATGGGCTAGCAACATTTGCAGGGCCCAGATTATCTCAAAGTCCATCCCTTTGCAAGTATGCTAGAAACTTCCTACAAAGAATTCCCAACGTGAGTAGGTAGGTTTATGAACTATCTACTACGCAGATGGTTCGGAGTAGAACACAAACCCTCACCACCGCATATCAACTTCCCGCAGCTCTCTGTAATCCGTTCCAAATGGCCTCCGGATTTTTCATAATCTTTCATCTTCTGAAACGATCTCCTTATTTCGTTCTCAGATACCTAACTCAACATTTTCCAACCAGCTTCCACACTGGTGTCCAGAGTGTGGTGTCACTCACTTGTCTCCTCAATGAATGGCCCATCGATGTTGTTTTCTTTCTGCTAATTTTTTTGGAGTTAGTTACCGTAGCTCCTTCCTTCTTTCCTCTTCAACTAGCCCATTCATCTTTGGTACGCGGTGTTCGGTTTCTGAATGACTCATCTTTCCTCATTATTTTGGAAGTTGGTCGCTTTCCTCACATTATCGACATAATCATACTTAACATGGGTTGTAATGCGTCACCTGGAACTACATATTGTATTCAGTCGTGAAATCTACTACCCGGAATGTTCTGATACCCTCTCTAACCACGTGGAACTCAGAATTTTTTCTACAGCAAGCACAGTTAAAAGAAAGTCTGACTTTTTATTTTGTAGTATTTTTCTGTTTATCGTTGTTGTTTTGATACTTCCATGATACAGCTACCTTTTTTCATATTCTCAAGACTTTTTTCTGTAAATTGTGAAAATTCTTGTTTCTGTAATGGCTAAGTCTATCAAAAGTGAAAGCACCGTTAAGAGACTGAGATCTAATACTGGTCAACCATCTGAAGGGTCTCAGCTCCGTTGACGATTCTACACATTTTACACCAGGCACACCCAGAGTTATGGCATCTGATATCATGGGGGAAGAGAACGTGGCTCGTAGCAAAAATGATTTAATGACACTTCAGAAGTTAATAGCAGACCTACAGAGCAAATCTGACAGCATTATGTCCCTCACGCAACTGTGTGACCCGCCACAGAACATCTATCTAGAATCACTTATCATATCCGAGCGCCTAATTGACTATTTTGCTGAAGAAGCTGTTAAGGGGATTATTTCTTCGCATAAGGTCTCGGCCTATAACATTCCAGACAGAGCCTATTGCCAAACTCAAGACTTCGTGTCTAAAGGCTTGTAATATGTCATTGACAGAATGTCACATTTTGCGTCTTTATAAAAAATCTTCAAGCCACTCATGTCCAGTGCTTTCCAAGTTCAGGTCTATTGAAGAATCCAGGAATTTTCTGAAGTCTGGTAAGATAATAGGCTCTTCATTACGGTTGCGCCTGATTTAACACCATATCAAGGACGACGCCGCTCAGGAACAGTGAATGCTGATAACTTCAACAGGACAACTGTAGATGACATTCCATGCGTTATTCCGTCTGTTGAAATACCTGAAGACCGCATGCATCAGACATTTTCGCAGGCACAAACTAATATTAGCCAAGTATTATGTAACGACACTGATCCTGACACTGAAATGGTGGACATAGATGAGCCAACAGAGCATGATGTTGAAATACATCGTTCGCACGCTGACACAATTGTCAAGAGCCAGAAAACATCAAAACCCATTCCACTGGTGTTCCACCTGTCCCCTTATAAATCAGTTACTACTCAAACTGAGAATCCACCCACTGTGAAGTACCAGTCGAATGTAGCTACCCAAGTTGGCAAGTTTTCTAGGCTTTATGACAAACGTCCCATTTCGATTAAGAAAAGTAGAGCACATGAGGTGTCCAAGCAACAGAAACCCTACACAGCATGTGCTGGCTGCACTGTTAGCCATCATCAACCAGCTGATCATAAGAAAGGGGAAACCGAAATAAATTAAAAACTGAACCTGGAGCAAGAAAGCCCTCTGATATGATAGAGACGAAAGCACTTCTAAGCCATCTTTCAGGAGAAAGTCAAATATGGTAGACCAAGATCCTAGAGGTAGGCCTTATTGGTATCAATTATACCCAACCATTAGTTCTAGACAAACAGCTCAGTGAGGTATTAGGTATTATTCTGCTCATCCACTACGCAAACCCCTTGTTATCCACCCCCGTTTAATGTTCCATCAACCAAAAGTTATAGAAAATCACCCAAACATCGGCCACAGACAACATTTAGCAAGTCATATAAGCCAACAGAATCCATTCATACATTTTGTGTATCTAGTAGGGATCACGTGCCGGTGTCTGCACAAAACTTGCTATGGTCTGATGACTACCCAAAACAGATACCAAAACTTCATTCCTATACTGGCAACAAATTACCGAATACTCAGATAGGTTATACCTTCGGGTAAGATTTTCACCAGAGTCAGTTAACGGAAACACCTGGCATCACGCATATAGCACCCATGGTATCGGGTCAATTATATGGTGGCATAGCGAACAGTCTACAGCTAGGGTAAGGCATATTTCCGGGAGATAGCCGACACAGTGTTGGCACCAAATGTGAATACTAATATCTCCAAAATACTAATATCTGATTATCACACAGGTGTCTCTCACTGCTAACCCTATACAAACGAAAGACCATCCCTGACTTCCATCTCACAAACCTGCCTGGAGTCTTCCAATGAACCGAGGGGATCGGCAAACGAGTCTGAAAATATGCATATAGAGGATACTCACGAATTATTTTATCAAGGTGTTGTCCGCTCAGTGAAACCACGTAGCCAGTGTTTATCTGTTATACTAGAAAATACTAGATCAGTTCTAAACAGACACTTAAGACAATCAGGTATCAACCAACCTTTAGTTTTGCAATTTTTAAACGCCTGTATTTTACCTATTGTGCTCTATCGCTCTCCATTAATCTCTCGTGGGCCACTCGAAGAAGACTATATCATATTACGAAGAGTATTAAATGCTGTGAGTAGGGCTCGTGGTCTGCCACTGCGTGAGCTCGCCAATACTATAGTCGAGAGACACATATATTCCTGTACAAAATAGGCAAAGGCTGTACTGTCAGACCCTCTGCATCCCCTTTATTCACAACTGTCCCCTTGTATCTAATCAGGTAGGACGAGAAGTCAATATAAAAAGTTATATGCTCGTACGCCTAAGTACAGAAATTCTACAAAACCCTATTTTGCCGGTACTTCATGTGACGAAGACTGTTAGACGTGAAACACATAAGTTACTACGTAATTAGCACAGTGAATCGACCCTTTCACTGTTCATCTTTCTGTATTATATGGTGTCACACTTTCTATCGTTTAATTATAACTTTGCTATTTAATTCCAGTTGTTATTACTGTTATTACTACAGTTTTGTACTTTATGCATATTTTTCTCCGTGTTGCATACAGTAATTTACCATGTAGTCGCTATAACAACGCTTTATTATTATTATGTAATGTTTATTTATATATTTTTTGTCGTTTTTGAGTAAATTAGATGTAATATTGTACTGAATGTAGAAAATTCCCTGCTGTATCATGAGTACTGTTTTTGGAATAAAGCAAATTATCATTATCACTATCACTACTGAGTGCATTGGCTTCCATATGCAGACAATCATTGATTATGATCACTGAAGCCTGATGCACAAGTGAGAACTCTAAGTGACAGACTAAGGATTGGTAAATGCAACCTGGTTCGAGGGGACAGACGGGTCGTGGGGGTGGAACACTAATTTGTTGTAAACAATCCATGTGTGCAACCCAATTTAGTAGCCGAATTCTGTCACAGCTCAATGACTCGGTCTGGGTCGAAATGAAAGTTGTCAGAAGTCAACTTAAACCTGTGGGTTGTGTGTACCGGCCCCCTTCATCCATCAGAGAATACGATAATATGCTCAGCAAAATTATTGATGCTACAGTTAGTCTTTCCTTCAGTTATAAAATTATCGGAGGTGATTTCAAAATGCCAGATGAATCGCATTCCAGACAGTACAACTCCATTCTGCTGAAAAACGTTGGTAATGACATAGACTTACTCCTGTTCAAGTTAAACCCAAATTCACTAAGGGATGGGACAAACCCTACTCGCTGCAATAGGCCTAATATTATACTTATCCATAAATACGGGCCTATAGCTGATATCAACAACTACTGCCCCATCAACATCACGTATGTAGTTTCACGTGTAATGGAAAAGATAGTAAAGACTCAAATCACTCAGCACTCGCTGTCAAATGACCTACTATACCCATCCAAATACGGTTTCTTACATCGAAGTTCAAGCATTACTTGCCACCTAGATAATTC